ATTATTTCAAACAAACAAACAAGAGAAGCCGAAAAAATTCGGCCCATTCGGACGTCCGGATGGTGAATAGGACGTCTGATTCATCCGCAACGGTCGATTTTTTGACCGTTCTGACTTTTGACGAGAAACGACTAAATCAGTCGCCCGGAACAGTATCAGGCGTTCGGATGATAGTTCGGTTCAACAGAGTTTTTGACATTTTTCAACTGTTATAAATATCAACTCACTTGCCATTCATTACAACATTAAAGAGCATTCAAGTAAGATATTTTGAGCACTCATTTATTATTATCAAATCATTTTACCTTTGAAAAACTTTTGATTTAATTAACTTTTGAAAATCATTTTACACATCAAAGTTTTTCATACCTAACACTCGAGTTTCATTCATTGCTATCTATTAAAGTGTTAGCCTATTTCTCTCTTGGTATTTAATTATGATCATATCATTTATTAATAGAGAAGTTTCACTTGTAAAACTAATTTTCTTTAAAACTTATGGGTCGTGTTGAGATCCAGTAAAGCTTAATGTTCCGGAAGTACTGTAAAAGGTTGGATTGCTCCACAAGTCAATCAATATAGTGAAATTGGTCTTACTCGTGCCGGTGAGCTTGGTAACAAAGGACGTAGATAATTGCATTGGATCAAACCTCCATAATTATATCGTTTGCATCATCTAACCTTCTCTACTCATTGCTTTCATATTTGTACTTATTACTTAAATTAATCTATCTAATTATTATGTGTTTGATTTTAGATTAATTTTTCGAAATATTTTAAAAACCAATTCACTCTGGCTAGCTACTCTTGAGCTATCAAAGAGAAGTAATAACCCCAATAACACCGTTGACAGTGCCAAAAATGACAGTTTGGATCTAGCTAACAACAGAATCTGCTAATCGCATTACAAGAGAACCATGTCGAAATTGATCAAGAAATTCACCGAGGTGATATTCCCCAACCATCTCGAGACATCCATGTTCCTCGTCAGTAGTACCTTCTGTTGACCTCGAAAAATGTGACGTTGACGTGGACAACAGACGTTGAGCCCACTTACATCAACTCAAGCAAAATTCAGCATGTTTTGATCGGAGTACCGGAAGGAAGTGATCACAACGTGAGACACAGGTGTTCGAACACCAATGGGTGAAACAAAGATGATTGCGCTAACAACAATCATCCATCAAATGCCTACGATTATCTGCTAAAGATCGAACTAATAAACATAGAACAAGCAATAAGATATATGGAGAATTTTTTCCTCTCTTTGTTAGAAAAAATGCTCACAAGGCCCTTTTTGTGTTTCTTTTTAGATTTTTCCCCAAAAGCTCCTTTCCATTTACAAAGACTTCATATTTATAGTGTTTGGTCGACGTGGTATCCATTGATCAAAATCATGTGGCCTCATTTCCTTGACTAAAGATTCACATCACTATCATACAATAAATACATTGACAACGGGTCAGTCACCATATACATTAGGCTGACACACCTGACATTTTGTATTACAAACGTTACATCAATCATTCCTAAAGATTGCCTACAAATCTTGTAAGAGACGGCTTTAGTTTCAAGAGCTTCAGATGAACTAAGGCCGTGGTTGGAGGAAGCTTTGTATCGGTCTTCTATGTGAAGAGTTTCATCTTCTTCTCTAACTTCTTTAGGTAGCACTTCGGCTTAATAGAAAGCTCTTCGGCCATTTAAGCGGTACTTCGGCACAATATCTTCAGCAATTCATTTGATCTCCTTACAAGTGACCATTTGACTTTTCTTTCCACGTAGATTGCTACGTGGCGTTTTGACTTTGAGCCTTGGTGGCGAGGCGTAACACTTTCACTATTTTTGTGAACAATATAGAGGTTGAAATTATTTTTAGCACCGCCATAAATGTCATCATCTAGAATCTCGATGGCCAACATTCAATTTGCACTGTAATCACGAGCTCGCTTCTCAATAGCACCCTCCTCGTGCTGCAGACAACAGCAAACCAAGAACATGAGAAAATTAGAGTTTTATTAGTTCTAATAAAAAATGGCAAGTAAGATTATCTAAAAAATATGACAAATAATAAAATCATTAGTTTACCAAATATATTTGAATAATTTAACTTTTAAAAATAAATTAAAAATTTTTAAAAATATTATTATCTCACTTTAATGAGTGGGGCAATAAAATGAATTATAACAAGATAAAATAAAAAAAAAATCGTGTAGTAAACGGGGCACGCCCACCGCCCCGCCTTAAATGGGGTACACCAAGCATGATTGTTTTTTGGCCCTCATCCACATATGATGCACTCTATTTTTTGAGTCCACGACCAGCTTTATGAGTCCATAATTACATGATGATAATCTCCTTACAAGTTAGTTTTTACAAGGACAGACAAGATCGAGTCTAATTATAGTTTCGCGACATGAGGCTTAGCTTGTGGGCTTATTGTGCAACCAAATCGGATAGGATGTATGAATGGAAATGAGGGCAAGTAATTAGAAATAAATGTTATACTTTCTTGGCAACACTGCAAACTTAGCCCTGTTTAGTTTAGATTAAAGTTAAATTTTTAGCAAAGTTAAATAAAATTTGATGAAATATGTAATTGAAA